CAGTATTGACATCCTGTCACCCCTGGGGGACCACTTATAGTGAGAAGAGACCTGAGTCGGCACTTTGCGAGCACTAGTCAGTGATGAGAAGCACATACCATCAGCTAATGCTCAAATAAATAAAAAAATGACACAATGACGTGTCGATAATTGCACAACAGTTGCAGCTGACAGTGTATGTTTTCACTGATCTGAAGACATTCTATAATTTTCAGTAGCGTAGTTAGTCCTCTAGGGTTTCATTGATCTCAATCAGGAATAAAAGCTTCCACAATTCCTTAGAATGCTACATCTGTTCACAGTAAAATGACTCTTACACATTGTCATCTTGTGTGCCGTGTGACACATAGTGGAGTCATCTACGTAATGTGTGTGTTCATGTCCTTAATAAAGGACTAAATCTGATAAGGAACACCAAGAGTAACACGTCCATATCCTGTTCTGTTCTGTATTCTCTCAAGCATTTGATTGAAATTAAAATGGACATTTGCCCCTCCCTTCCTCTGAGGTGTAACAACCACACACGCTGTGTGTCAGTGGCTGACACCAGTAGCAGAGCTGGGCATCTGACCTCCAAACATCATTGTTCAGCAAACTGGGGAGGGGGAGATATGCTGCAGTGTCTTTTTTTTTCTGCAGAGGGCAGAGAGAACATACTACAACGTTGATGCTACTGCCTGCACCGCTCCTTGTATGTACATGACCTTTTTTCCCCTCTTCAACATCTAAAATCTCCTCGTCGTCACACACGTGATCAAGATGCCCATTACGTGAGACCATTACAATGCACTGCTGTGAGACTGCAATTAACTCCATTAACATCGCATGAGGTTTATGGGGTGAATACACACATAAACTCACAGGCACACAATGTGAGAGTGTGTATCAGTGTGAAGTTAGGATCTGAGTTGATAATGACATTACCTTGTGAGGTAATGCACAGAGTTACATAACATAGGTTAACATCCACCATGTATAACAGTGAAGTGCCAATAGGGCAAACTCACCTTTGGTTTCGAGGCATTCCAACACTCCAGAGATTCAGTCTGCAAATGAGGCAGAGGAGATTTGCCTGAGCCGGTGAGATGAAGAATGCGGCACACACACTCCCATTGATGGAGCTGCTGCCTCCCCCAGTTATCCCTCTTGCATGAGTGCATTCAATCACACGTACGCATGATACGCACTAGCCACTCTCGGGCTGAAGTGAAACATGTACGGCAATGCCTGTCACTCAGTCCACAGTACAGTGGGGGTGTTTCGCCTTACATTTAATCCCTCATTCCGGTAGCAAGTTGTGTTTCTCCTGAGAGAATCTGTTGTGCATCTAATTCCTGTCAGCTGTCATGCCAGTGTTTGCCTCCCTGCCCTAATGTGCTGTTGACAGTGCACACAATTTAGCCCCTGAATCTGATGTCTCTTTTTTATCTATCACATTACTAACTTGACCACCTCCACCACCACAGTACTACAGCTCTCTCCACTTTTTACGGTCTTCAGCAATCCAGCCATTGGCACAAAGCCCTGTAAGCTGCCTTGGCTTAACACCGGGCTAAACCAATCAGGTGGCCTAAGGTCTATCCCAGGACGGACCTGCTCTAATAATCTGAGGAGAGGATGAAGAGGAAAAGAGAGGGGATAGAAAAGTGCATGCAGGTCTGTGTCTGTGTGACTATGGAGGATGAATGGAGGACTCCTTTCTTGAGGCAATGCACGGTTTCCTGCGTTGCATATTGAAGAATCACCAACAAAGATATGCAACACAATTGTATTCATCCACAGTATTAATCCAGTTCCCTAAGAGAGATGTGCTGAAATTAAAAAGGCCACAGAGTCAGCGTCCTCTCTCCATAAATCTCCACATAATCAATAATCTATTGGCAAACAGAGTGTGCAGGGGTAAACAGAGAAATAAGCTTACATGCTTCGTCAAAAGAGGAGCTAAGACGCTAAACACAGGTTGCTACCACGCTTTTTTAAATAGGCACATGTCAGAGATATTGTGCAGGAAATTCACGTACAATCCAGGAAACAATCACAAATATTATATATTGTTATATTATGATATCCAGCATGATTTAATATAAGTGTTAGATTTTGGTCATGTATAAGAAAAGACTAAGAAGTGTCTAACGGGCAGGGACGAAGACAAATGTAAAAGGCATGCGGTGGGCAACCAGCATTCAGAAAGTTGTCTAGTATATAGGGCAGTCCATATGGCATTGCATCACATTTTCTCCATCAAAAAAAGAAAGCACTTCATCATGTTTCCTCCACTGGGAGGTCACCCCAGTGGGCTTTATCATGTTTTATCTGCCATAGGGGCTTTTTAAGACGTTTGCTCGAATTTTCGAACATGGGGTTACCAAATGTTACACTCACAGTGGTCCTAGAAGAACACATGGGGGATCACCAAAAGGCGTTGGGAGTCATTCTCTGCCGAGCATGAATGACTGTACCAGATTTCGTGGCAATCCATCCAATCGTTTTTGAGATATTTCCATCTGGACCAAAGTAGCGGACAGACAGAGCGGCTCATTCCTTGAGTCATTATGCTAGCTTAGAGGGGGCTTTAAAAATACACTATGTACAGTATGTGATAAGATGTGAACAATGAATTTAAGAAAAGCTAGACATATAGACAGACTTCTAATCAAAGTTCATCAAAGATATTGGTGAAATAGATAATTGGTTTGAACAGCACTTTGACACAGTGTGGCTTTGAACGGTGCCAGTGCTGGTTTGGATTAATGGCATTCTTGGGACTGATGGGACACGGGCTCTGTTGCGCGACAGCTGATGTCAAGCTAATTAACACACTTAGGTTCACAGTGGCTGTTGGTATGATATGATTAAAGATTTTAAATGATATTCCAGTGAAAGGCATGCTCAGTGAATGAACTTTGAACAGGATTTTAAAGCAACTATGAAAAAAATAAGTATTTCTGTTGAATTTCCCTTCAAGTGAAAAGACAGCCTGAAGAATGCAATGACACATCACTTACCCATCAATTACAAGAAGGTAATTGCTTTTGCTTTCAGGAGTGCAGTTTGTTGATCAACTGTGGTTCCAGTTCATGATTCATTTAGCATGAGCAGAAGATTACTGATCAGATTACTGCTGACCTTTCCAAATGGGTATGGCCATTGGCCATCTTCAGATTTATTGGTGTTTGGACCATCACAATAATACACCACTTGCTGCCTAGAACTGTTGTGATATATACTGCTCCATAAATTAGTTTCACTCCATTTCCTTGCAATGTATTTCTTAGGGGAAATAGGTGCTAAATGCGATATTTAGAGCATATACCGTATATATTGCCTTTGAATAATGATCCTGTCTCTCACATTGACTCTGGCCAAAGTGTTCTTAAGGGCTCAGATTGGGGAGAAACTGCTCCTGTTGTGCATTTCCAAATAAAGTAAGAATCACCGAAAAGTTACATATCATGCCAAATCCTACAAATACCTATAATAATTGATTTGCCACGCTGCAACAGAGGAAAAAAAGCAGAGAAGCTTGTTCCAAGTGAGCAACAACATATCCGATCATATGCTACTACATTATGTATAGAATTAAAAAAAGTGTATCTTTCGTATCTTTTTGTTACAAAACTTGAAATATATGAAACTATTCAAGTAAGAAGCACCATGAATGGCCTACTGTGTCTATTGCAGGGACGTTGAGCAGCACAATAAAAGGACTTTACTGCCCTCTAGTGGTAGTTTAAACTTAACCCTGTTGTTTTTTTGTCCAGTTTCTCCCTTACGTTTCACTTCTCTGATGTTCTGAATGGGGGCATTTAACGTTATATAATGTAACAAAACTAAGAATTAAACATCATATGACTGGACTTTGGTTGGCCCTAGGACTGCGTGAAATAACAGCACCCACCCCTGCCTCAGAACTTTTAAAGTGCCTTTGAGACTGTGTTGGTACTGGTCAGCTCCCAGGTTTGTTTGTGTGTAACTGCTTATGAAAGAGAGTAGGAATACTCAGCAAACCTACTCTCAGTGTATCAAGCTTATACATGTTTTTGTAAAGCATATTTTCAACAACCCAGTTCTATTAATTACATTTTAAAATATGTTATTCATTTTAAAAGGCAGTGTTTCTGCCCCAGGGTAATTTGTGATATATAATCCATGATTGTAAACATAACATGCACAACAGGAAAAAAATAACAAATACTACCGTCATGTATTCTATAAAGGTGTAGTAAAGTAAACTGATCTTCAATAAGTGCAGTAGTTCTACCCTCTAGTCATGGGTAACATGGGCACGAATGCACTATTGTTTTACTTCTGCTTTTACTTTAGGGAACCAAATGAATTAGGTGAATGACTCACTCACTTTCACCTGCTACAATTACATATTCTATTAGATATATCATAGGTTTTAGAAACATGCATTTATTGGTCACACTTTATTTTGACGGAACAACAACTCATAGCTTCCTACGTGACTTTAATAAGTGTGTGCATTATGTGTCAGTGGACAACACAATTAAAGTGATACCATGCACCTGCTGAGCTGAGCGTTGAACAACCTTATACAAATAATATGAGATAAGATCCAAATAGGCGGACTCGCTTATGCTATTTGAATTTAGTACAAGAATACAATATCCTGTTAATCCTGTTGGTTCAGAGCAAGACTGGGCCGACCTAGTGAGGGTGACACGTGACAGTTGGAAGACAAATACATTCTTGTCAGTATGCGCATGGCCGGATGTCTGACACATAGACCGTGACATGTGCGCTGCACCTTTTTCCAGAATACACACACACACACACACACACACATACATATATACATATACATACACATACATATATATACACACACATACATACACACATACATATATACACACACACATACACACACATACATATATACACACACATACATATATACACACACATACATACATATATACACACACATATACATACACATACATACACATATATATATATATAAAACACCTATAAAACAGCAGAGATGCGCTCTAATGACGGAGGTGCGTTACCTAGGTAGATTCATATGTGATTTTAAAGTTATCAGAGGCTTTAGAGCTATTGAATGACGCTATATTTACAGCAAACCTGCAGCCAGTTTCGCTCCTCCACATGAATTGTCTTGTATGTCTACTCTTAAATTTACGGTATTTGTCCCATTCAGCGTTGAGTCTTCGCCACGAAATCCCAAAATGCCCTCATAATGAGACGACTGTTTACAAATAACTTGATGTATTACTCGTAGTAAAAACAGTCATAAACACTTTTACAAGATTTAGCATTTTACAGGCAATTGGAAACAACGTGCCCTTATTTAACACACAAACACATATGTACATTACGGTACAGAAAAAGTGTTTTTGTTTTCCGGTGGTCTGGCTGCATTCGTGACTACTGTGCCAAACCACAACTGCGCCTGTTTTCACCGCGCCTTACCAAACCCTTGCTGATGTTTAGAGCACCACTCACTCTATATTGCATCAGACACTTCGGGTGTTTAATCAAGTGAGTATGAATCCTGTTCAACGTCCACGTATTTCTGTTTATCCTCATGCATGAAACAGTTAAATCCTACAGTGTCTCTGCGATGTGGAAGTGAAATCGGAGCTGCCAGTTGCTCATTTCCGTCATAGTCTGACTTTGGGAGCTTGTAGAGTCTTGTCGGCGCTCCCGAGCTAACGACACTGTGGTGGAAGTGAATGCCTTTCAAGTCGATGAAGTCGAAATAAAGGGCACAATCTGGTAAGCTCTCTGCCGGTTTTATATCCCAAATATTAGCCAGACTTAAAGTGTGAAGTGTCAAGGTAACACTCAGTGCTGTGATTATGTAGTCATAGAAATAAAGCATATTAGTGTACTGCGATAGTAATAATAATATAGCTGTATGTCTTTAGAAGAGAGATTTCTGTTGAAACTCTCCTAAATATTGAGTCACACACTCAGCATTTTTATATTAACAAAAGATCAAATGAATGATTTGAAAGATGTTGCTAGTGATGCACAGCGAATTATCACCTGACCAGACTTCCCCTCTGAAGCTTTTCTGCGTCTTTTAGCTCCATGTTTTATTATGTATGGCCCGCAGCTTTCCTGTTTTGAGTCACTCTCAGTAGCAGCAGGCATGTTGTTTAAAGCGAAAAAGTTCTAAAAAAAACACTGTATATGAACTGCTCAGCACCAAACAGAAGACAGACAAAGCTAAAACAGAGCTCAAAGAGAAAAAGGAAATATACCTTATATTTCATTTGTCTTCCAGGTGTGTATAACTATTTAAAAACATGTTTGCCAAATTAACTTTCTAAGATTATATTATATCGGTGCTATTCTTGTAGTGCTGCCCCCAAATTGCCCAGAAAGAAAAAGACTAAGTCTTATGCATATTTTAATCTTTCTTTTGTTTTTCAAGGTTTTTGAAACTATGCATGCCCCACGTTCCCTTCTCCTGGCGCTGATCATCATGTGCTATGTCATGACGGGACCTTGCAATTGCGTGGCCTCCCAGAAGAAGACCTCTTGCAATGTGCAAGACGGCAGAGCCGACTGCAGCCACCTCCACCTCAGGGCGGTCCCCCAGGACCTTCCCGAGAGCATCACCGGCCTGGATATGTCTCACAACCAACTGAGGAGGATTCCCCCCGTGTCACTCACCCGATACCCAGGCATCCTCCACCTCAACGTCAGCTACAACAGTATCACCAAGCTGGAACAGGGTTTGTGCCAGACACTGCCTCTGCTGCAGACACTGAACATGGAGCACAATCAAGTGTATGTGCTGAAGAAGGTGGACGTGATCCATTGCACCAATTTAACACGGTTGATTATGGCTAGTAATAAGCTAAAGCTTGAAGGGGAGCCCTTCTCTGCACTACAGGTACAGTTACACTGATGAGTTGGGTCAGTAATAGCTGGAGTAATAGCTATAGCTCATTTTCCTCACAGTTGTTCGATATGCCTCTCATGTATTACATTTTTATTCTCCTTTTAATGTTCACAGAGCCTGAGAGTTCTTGATGTGTCCGTAAACAAACTGCAGTCAGCCAAGCTCGGCTCCCAGCCCCAGCTGCCCAGACTTGTGAGCCTCGATCTGGCATTCAATGACATCACCACCCTGAAGAAAGAGGACTTCTTGTTTCTTAGCAATTCGTCCTTTCTGCAAGTCCTCAACATGTCAACCGTGTCGCTGAAAACGGTAAGAAACTTACCTAGGAATGGGAAATGAAATGGTGTTGTCAAAATTGGAACCAGTGTTAGGAAGTAGTATTTGAAGGTCCTTGCTTTCAGTTGTCCGTTTCCCTTTTTTTGTCTCACCGCAAGACCTCTGTGTTATGTTTTGTTGCAGTTGGAGCCTGGTTGCTTTAAGCCCATTTCAGGCCTACGTACTTTAATCATGGATGGAAATAAAATGGACACGCCTGTTATTTTTAAACTCTGCTCGGAGTTGTCAGGGACAGCCATCGATGCCCTGTTTCTTCGGAAGATGAAGCTGGTCACACTCACAAACACAACCTTTACAGGGCTACAGAAAACAAATCTAACCTTTCTGGATCTGTCCCGTAACGAGATGGTCAAAATTGAAGAAGGCGCATTTAAGGGGCTGTCCAGACTTCAGACTCTAATTTTGACAGACAACAACATCAGACACCTGACCAAGGACACATTTCAGGGGCTCAAAAGTTTGAAAAGACTCCAATTGACAAAAGCTCTTGTGAAAAGTCACACCACCCCGTTTATCGACGATTTCTCCTTCCAACCACTAAGTGACCTGGAGAGTTTGATATTGCAGAGAACCGCCGTTCATGAAATTACAGAGCACACATTTACAGGCTTGAAAAGTCTTCAGGAACTCGATATGAGCTGGAGTAGTTACACCTCGCTCAGAAACATCACCAACAAGACCTTCGTCTCACTTGCGGGATCGCCTCTCAGAAAGCTAAATCTAGCAGGGACAGCCATAGCGCAGATTAATCCTGGAAGCTTCTCCGTTTTGAGAAACCTCACCACTCTTCTTCTGGATTTCAACTTTATCAAGCAAACGCTCACTGGCAAAGAGTTTGAAGGCCTGGGCCAAGTTGAAGAGATGTACATGTCCAATAACCAACAGACGGTCAATCTAAGCCCCACGTCCTTTGTGAATGTGCCCAATCTGAGGGTCCTGACTTTGGGAAGAAGCCTGAAAGCTGAAGCAGTGAACATGGATCCCTCTCCATTCAGTCCCCTGCCCAACCTCACCGTTCTGGATCTCAGCAACAACAACATTGCTAACATGAGAGAGAATATGCTGGAGGGGCTTGTGAACCTGAAAGTGCTGAAGCTCCAACACAATAACTTAGCCCGCTTGTGGAAGAGCGCCGACCTCGGTGGCCCAGCGTTGTTTCTCAAAGGCGCCCAGAGGTTGATGACCTTACAGATGGATAGTAACGGGCTGGATGAGATCCCTGCAGAAGCTCTGAGAGGGTTGAGCAACCTCCGCGAAATCAGCCTGGCCAACAACCTCCTTAATAGTCTTAAGAACTCCATTTTTGATGATCTGAGCTCACTGCGGGTTTTAAATTTACAGAAGAATCTGCTCACGGCTGTGAGGCCCGGAGTGTTCAAAACTCCTATGAGCAACCTCAGCCTGCTTCTTATGGACAAAAATCCATTTGACTGCACGTGTGAGAGCATACTGTGGTTCGTGACATGGTTGAACGACACACATGTGACAAGCGTGCCAGGTCTCAGCGACCAGTATTTGTGCAATACCCCACTAGCTTACTTTAACCGCTCTGTCATGGATTTTGACACCCTCTCCTGCAAAGACATGACCCCATTTCAGGTTCTTTACATACTGAGCAGCACTGCAGTCATCATGCTGACAGTAACTGCGCTTCTGGTGCGGTTCCACGGCTGGAGGATCGAGTTTTATTGGAACATATTGATCAATCGCACGTTAGGATTCAGCGACGCCGGAGTTGAAGAGGGCAGGGAATTTGAGTACGACGCTTACGTCGTCCACGCGGAGAAAGACAGTAGCTGGGTAGAGAGAAGGATGGTCCCCTTAGAGAATGACATGTGCAAGTTTTGTTTGGAGGATCGAGATTTTGTCCCCGGCATGTCAAAGCTTGAATCCATCGTGGATAATATGACAAAGTCCAGAAAGATCTTGTTTGTCGTCACTGAAACTCTTCTCAGAGATCCCTGGTGTAGGAGGTAAATCAAACTTACGCTACTTGATTTATATATTATTCTAGATTCTACATAAGGTCAAGTAAAATTCAAATTACGTCATTTAGAATTTTGTGATGTGTAGTATATCTTATCTGGGTGGCATACCGAGTTCTCACAATTGTCTCTTTCCACTCCTGCCCTCGTCTCTTTCCTTATCCAGATTTAAAGCCCATCATGCACTTCACCAGGTCATTGAAGCCAGCAGGGACTCGGTGATTCTGGTCTTCCTGCAGGACGTCCACGACTACAAGTTGTCTCGCTCACTCTTCCTCCGTAGAGGCATGTTGCGTTCATGCTGCGTCCTGGACTGGCCCGTCCATAAGGAGAGGGTGCCGATCTTTCACCAGAAGCTCCTCATGGCACTTGGCATGACTAATCGATTGCAGGAGTGAATGTGTTTCATTTGTAGTAATTGGAAATTCACTCTGTAATAATAGATACCAATGTTGGTTCAATTAATTGCAACTGACTGCGGATGGTTTTGCCCTCTGTGTGAATATTGTGCTTACTGTAAATATGCGCTCAGTCTTATTGTATAAATGATAACGAGTGAAAGGTGGTGTTGTGTATGTGTGTGTATGTGTCCTACATATACAGAGGGTTTTTTGTATATTTATTGTTTGCTAGTACTGCAAGGTAGAGAAATCATCGTGTTCTCCGATGTTTCCAACAAAGTCCAGCTGAACAGTTACATTTTGACAATCGTTATTTTGTAATGCACATTGTAACATATTCAAAAATATTCAAAGTGCAGTTTTAATGATTTTACCTCTCAATCGCTAAAACGTGACGTAAAGAAGATACTTTAAGTTATATATCTTAAGCTTGATATGTGATGGCACAACTTTTAAATGTACAATTTAGCGGAAAAAATCTCGTGGCAGAAAAACGCAGAAAATGAATCTCCTCCAAAATGTGTTGTCTCGTAAAGACAAGGCTTTTTAAAATTTGGATGTGCTTTCTGTTTCCTCAAGGTTTCAAACTGACTTAGTCTCAGTGTCGTGTCAAGGAGCACACACACACGGATGGATTATAGCGAATAGCATTAAAAGATACATAGACCTTTCAATCACCACACAACAGAGTGACATCCACACTATTTCTCTATTTGTCAGATTTTATTTATTGAGTTAACCCTTGAAAGCCTAGCATGAAGGCCTAAATTCTCTCTTGAAGTCTTCTGAACAGTGTCAGAAAGAGAATTATGGGGGAGGAATACTGAAGTGGTTATTTATTATTTTGTTTGCCAAATTGAAATGTATTGTGTGTAAAAATACTGAAATCCACATGTGAAAGTTTTCTTTCCAGAATGTAAACTCTCGCCAGGTTGCCAAAACGTCCAAATTCCTAGAAATACATAAATACTACATGACCTCAGTGTCCTCATGCTGGCTGCAGCCTTGATGTTCAGTCTCTGTTGAGATTGTGTCACAGAGATCTTAATTCAACAGGTCCACCACAAACTACATGGCCTCAAACAACACAACTAATAAGGGTTCAAATTAAGTCATTGTGCTTACTAACACAATAGTGTAAACTTTTGGAAAAATATATTTTATTTAAAGTATAAAATAAAAACACAAAACATTCAATTAAAACAAACAATACCTCAATAATTAAGAAAGTATTCAAATCAAGACCAAAAGGCCTCTGTAAAGAGTGAATTAAGGGTAAATAACATCTTTATTATATACTATAATATATATTATTATATATATATATAACTGGCACATGGATAAGGCTGTTATTTATTAACCAATCAGGTCTTGATCAAGGTCAGTCAGATAAATAATTAACATCTTTATTATATAATTTGTACATTTACCATCTTAAAATCTGTTTTTTTGAAAATATTTTACATTATATAATATGTTTATCTACCTCCTATATCCCATGTTCAGTAGCGCGCAATTCTTTCTTTATAGGCATATGAACAGCAATAAATAACCATGTGGGCCAACTTTAACCCAGTGAGCAGGCGAAGGGTTGACTGCAGAGAAGAGGAGGGGCAAAGGCACGTCACACCTTCACATCCTGCTACTGCTATTTAAAACACACACACACACACATCGTGCGTACACACAGCAACAAAAGATGGCAGTACTGCTCGGCAGTTACTCGATACCTTTACTTGGAATCAGCATCTTCTTTGCTACTCTGACCTACCTCACCTACAGGGTGCTAAGCGCTTACCTGCACAAATGGTTTGCGATGAAGCACATTCCGGAGGCGCCCGGGACGTATCCCTTCATAGGAAATGCACTGCAGTTCAAAACCAATGCAGGTGGTAAGAAAGCAATAGACATGCTGCTGCTGGAGGCCCCATAGGCTTGATACAGCACAATACCTTTAGTTGACCGACATAACCGACGACATAATTGCCTACTTAATGCAGTATAAATACTGTATATGCAGATTTTTTTTCCTTTGTTTCAGATTTCTTTCGTCAAATTGAGGATTTTACCCATGAGTTCAGGGATGCACCCCTATTTAAACTCTGGGTTGGACCAGTCCCATTCGTGGTTCTGTTCCACGCGGAAACTGTTGAGGTACGGTGACTGACAACTCCACATTTACGACACGCCAACCATGCCTTCAGCAGGTGTAACTGGTTTGTCCACGTGCCTCATCTTGTAAATATGTAATCTCAGGAACTGAATAGGAGTAAAAAGTTTCATTTTTAACCACATTCAGTGACATGTAAAGTAATCACAGTCAATGTCTTTGCACAGACAGAAGAGCACTAACTTATGAAGCAGAGGCTGCTGCACAAAAGCTAAATTCAGCAAAACACCTTGACTTTGTTGACTTTGACCTAGTTACTCTTGATGTACACATGGTTTATCTAGGATGTCATTGCACTTTTACACACTGCAGTCACGTGCGCAGACAAATGGACCCTTGGCAGGGACATGCAAAAGGCCCCAGGTTTTGTGTCTCTTTCTGGTCATTTTGTGTTTTTTTTGGTCTTTTTTTGTTTCATTGTGGTTGTTCGCCCCTTTTGTAGTTATTTTGTCTCATGACTGCAGCCACTGACTGCTACATAACTGCTACTGCTCACCATTCCAGTTATTTATTGAATATCAACTGTGCTGTTTTTGATTGCTCATTCTTTCTTGCATTTCTTATCTGTTTTTGCTCTTATTAATTGTCGTTTGTAGACGATTCTGACCAATGCTGTCCACATGGAGAAAGGCCATTCATACAACTTCCTCCACCCTTGGCTTGGAACTGGCCTTCTTACAAGGTATTTACTTGTGGAGCTCATCTGCTCGATATTAAAAGCTTGTCAGGGACGATCAGAAAAAATCAAAACATTAAGTTAAAGAAAAGAAAAACAAAGTCGTTTTGAAATCAACAGCAACATGATAATGACAAATGAATAAAAACAAGACCCATAGATATGCCCCAGATGCATACTGTAGACTAAGTCTAAACCCCTTCTTAATTTGTGTTCACATTGAAAAAAGAACAAAAGTGTGTGTATACTTGCAGCCAGAGGGTGGTGCTATAGAAGCATATAAGTGTGAAAAATGAATGGCATGGTGATTTTCATTTGATTTTTTCAATGATTCATGCACAAGTGGAATTTTTGGGCTGAAAGTGGGGAAACAGTGAAGGGGTCACCACAATCAATACGCAATCAGTTCCTAATTCCACCCAGAGGTGGCACAATTTATTATTTTGTGATCATGAATGTCCGCAGCAAATTTCATGTTAATCTGTTTCAACATGCCGTTACAAAATTTGGCTCAGGCTTGCAACAAGAGGGAGTCCAAATTAAGTTATTTAGTTAAAAAGGAAAAATAAGACGTAGAGATATGGAAGGAGATATCAGTGGTGTCATGCATGTATGGATGAGTGAAAGCATGCATGTAAAATTCAATGAAACCACAAAGGTGTGGAGGCTTTGAGGAGACGTTGAGGCTGCCCAGTAAGACAGAGCTTATCCTGCTGGGAGAGATGCCCTTCTTGTGCCCCTTTGCCACTCCAACAAAGTGTTATTTAAATGTCAAAGGTCAAATCTTGATCTGATTACTGAAATTAGTATTGATGATGACCAAATTTGGTGAAGTTAAAGTTCTCATCTCTGCTTCTTCTGTCATTTGTTTTAAGAATACATGCCTTGAGTACTTTCCCACCCTTAAGTTCTCCTTGATGTCTCCTGCTTTTGGTCAGCACTGGGAGCAAGTGGCGTCAGCGGCGGAAGATGTTGACCCCCACCTTCCACTTCTCCATCCTGACGGACTTCTTGGAAGTGATGAACGAGCAGGCAGAGATCCTGGTGGAGAAGCTGGAGAAGCAGGCGGGGAAGGGTCAATTTGACTGCTTCAGTCACATAACCCTGTGTGCCCTGGACATTATCTGCGGTGAGGTAGAATATGTGCAGTGAATGTAATTGTGTCCATGCATAAATGAACCTTTTATCCCCGTTTGCGCATAATAAAATGCTTAGAATGGTCTAAACAAAGCAAAAAAGATGGTCAACTAACAATGTCTTTTCAGAAACTGCAATGGGAAAGAAAATTTACGCCCAGAGTCATTCTGACTCAGAGTATGTTAAGAGCGTGTACAAGTGAGTTATTTCGATTTTCTTTTCCATTACACAAAGAGACGATAATAAGGGAATATTTATAGGATTAATTGCTTCATGTTTCTGTCTTCTTCCCAACTTTTTTGTCGTTAGAATGAGTGACATTGTGAGCCGCAGACAGAGGACACCGTGGTTTTGGCTTGACTTTGTGTACAACTTCTTTGGTGAGGGCCGGGAGCATGACAAGACACTCAAGATCCTGCACTCCTTCACATACAAAGTAAGTGATGAAGCCAGTGGTTTGAAAAATCAGTGGATGTTCAGTTTCTATTACATTGAATTTCCGTCTCAGGTGATACAAGAAAGAGCAGAGAGGACTTCCAATAATGATTCGGACAGCGACTCTGAACAGAGCACGAAGAAAAGACGAGCATTTCTGGACATGCTCTTGACGGCCACATATGAGGATGGCAACAGAATGAGCCATCAGGACATTCAGGAAGAAGTGGACACCTTTATGTTTAGGGTTAGTGGTCAGAAATATAACTCACATTATTATCTCTGTCAGGCGTTATAATCCATATATAAATCCCAGATTAAGTTAATTTAGTTGCCATCTTGACTGTAAGGCACCCGGGTGGTACAATTGAGTGAGATTTAATTGTTCTTTGTTTGGGAGGGGGAGAGGGAGACACACCTGGCAGAGATCTGCACTCAACTGAGTACACTCTTCTAGTTTGTTTTCTTTCTCCTCCTCATCCTTGCTCATATCTCTGGTCACATTTGAATGAATATATGACACACTAACACGACACATTTTCATACAATTCCTAATATACTCTCACGAACAAAAAAAACACTAAAACTCAGCTTTAAAGTGTTGAATAATGTGCTGTTTTTCTGTATTTTTAATGGCCCTCATCGTACAGGGACATGATACGACAGCAGCCTCTATGAACTGGGCCGTACATCTGCTGGGCTCCCACCCTGAGGCACACAGCAAAGTTCAACAAGAGCTTCAGGAGGTGTTCGGTAACAGTAACATGCCCTCTCCCATGCCGCCACCCCACACCTTCTAACTTTCATGACATTTGTTTTCCCGCCCAAAGGCCTTTTGACTCATCTTTGTTCAGATTTGTTCTTTACAGCTCAAGGGGAGCTTATACCAGGGATAATAGATGTGTAAAGTCCTTGCCAAAATACTTAGAGAATAACTGAATTATTTTCACTGCTTTGTGGATATTGTTGAGGCTGAAACTTCTCAGAGGAATGCAAGGCCGCAGGACTTCCGCTGCTGCCAACTTTCGGCAGCGAAGTCGTACTAAAAAATGAGCTGGTTTAGGTTATGAACAAAACAGGTATTTAATAATAACAGAAGCTAAAACAGTTACAAACTGAATTACTCTATCGATAGTAATATGTTCCAGGAACAGAGTCCACACGCGCCCCCCCCCCCCCCCCAACAGTCCGACGGGTTTCGGTTATCTGTAAGAGGGAAGACGCATGGACTGAATAATTTCCTGTAGAACAGTGTCCTTTGTGTTCTGTAAGTGTCTGAAAGTGTCCGTATCAGCTTTCGGACTGCCCTCTGCTCCGATGGTCAGCCCTTCACGTCTGACCACTTCCTGTTGACTCGGTGCCATCATGCATTTTTTTTCAAGACGTGAGCTGGTAGTAATAACACATGCTACGTTTTCACAAGTTTGAGGATCTAATCTTCCTCCACTTCGTCCTCAAGGAAAGACGCCTTCAATTTGATATACTCAACCGGTCTTTAAAATCCCATCTCTTCAAATACCAACGGTATCAGTGCCACTCGGCATGTGATACCGACGCACCATGCTTTCAACAAGCTTCAATGTAAACCCACCCGCGTCACAAGACGGTCAGAGCAACTGACGTAGAGAGGGGAAGTGGATGGGCTAAACACACACACACGACTATTTTATTTATTTCTTAATTTATTTTTATCGTATCGATTGGCTTTATTGTTTCACCTACTGTACTGTTTATTCATTATCCAAACCGCTTATCCTGTTCAGGGTCGCGGGGCGCTGAAGGCAGGGTACACCCTGGACAGGTCGCCAGTTCATCGCAGGGCACATATAGAGACAGACAAACATTCACGCTCACATTCACGCTCACATTCACACCTACGGGCAATTTCGAGTCTCCAAATAACCTAAGCTGCATGTCTTTGGACTGTGGGAGGAAGCCGGAGAACCCGGAGGGAACCCACGCTGTAACGGGGAGAACGTGCAAACTCCACACAGAAGGACCACCTGGGATCAGGGATCGAACCCAGGTCCCTCTTACTGTGAGGTGACAGTGCTAGCCACTACACCACCGTGCAGCCCTGTGTTTGTTGAGCCTTCTCTTGTTTTATTGCCTTGCTTTTGCTGCTTTGTTTGTCAAAGCACGGTTTTTAAAAGGTGCTATATCAATAAATTAAAATTAAAGTTAATACTTTGTCCAGGAGACGACGTGTTCGTGTGCAGTGCGAAACTAAATGTAAATATTTACATTTTGTCACGTCGTCATGCGAGTCGTTTTCTACTGTAGAAGGTGGGAAAAGTAGGGTATATGTCAAGGATATAAAAGTAGGAGAAAGTGCAACAGCAGGAAACTGCAGCGCAATCTAATTAACAACTATCTGATCCAAGACCTAGTTTAAATGCTGTTCTTTATCTGTATTTTGTGCTGAAGAGTTTAACAGTGTTTCTTGTTTTATGTGCAAAGGTACATCCAACCATCCCGTTAACATAGAGGACCTGAAGAAGCTCAAATACCTGGAGTGTGTGATCAAGGAGGCCCTGCGACTGTTTCCCTCTGTGCCTTGTTTTGCCCGCAACATCGGTGAAGACTGCCACATCAGTGAGTTACAGATGAGCGATGACACTTGAATGAAACATTCATTTGCTGAGTGCAAATCCCCAAAGGCAGTGGTATTTGTTATAAGTATCCAGGGGAGGCCAGGCTTCCTGTGTTATTTTCACTTGACAAATAGGTTTCTTCGTCACATAGCATATATTTTATGGTGTTGATGGAGCCGTCTCTTCCCCAGAGTTTCTTCAAGTTTATAAAATAAGGCCCTACGGATTGCAACATGATGTAAATATTCAGTTTGTGTGTAAAAGAGTGAATGGCACTTTATCGTCATGTTAAAGGAATACTTCACCTGCAAAATGACCAATGACCATTTGTTTTCTTGAATTTGGTTTCATTTTTTGTAAGTATGTTTTATTGCTTTTCACAGTTTTTACCCCACCAGGGAAGAGGATACAAAACATACATGTATTAGACTTCAATTACAGAGGAAATTGAAATCCTCATTCCCAACCCTGCCACCCTACCCACCCTACCCACCCTACCCAACCATTGTGGGCTTACAGGCTACAGAACATATACATTCAGATAAACTCAGGTAGATTCAGGTGATGGAGGCGAGGACATAAGATCAAATAATCGCATTAATTAGTCGAACAAAGCAAGAGTAAAGTAAAACAATAAAAAAATGAATAAACAAAATAAAATAAAATTCAGGAGAAAAAAATGAATACAAATGAAATAATAGAAAATGTGTAAACAGCAGCTGCTGCTATGGGACATTTAAGGGTTGAGTCGTAGAAATCTAGAAAGGGCCTCCATATTTTACTAAAGGTTTGGGAGTACCCTTTCAGTGTATATTACATTTTTTTCTTTTCCTTATTAAAGGCCAAAATGTCTCCTAAACGAAGCCCATATTCCTATTGGGTTATTCACTATTATGTTCGTACTGAAATTATTGTTATGAAGTGGCAGGGCTGCGCAGACCACAGAGCCGGGGTGGTGCTGGCATGAGGAGAATTCTATTTGCACCCAGTCCGCCTTTCCAGCAATTGGCCAGTCTTTAAACCAGTGAATTAGCTTCTGGATATTGCATGTCCAATAGTAAAGAACAAGATTAAGTACAGCTAGACCTCCTGCACTCTTTGGAGTTGGGTCTTGCTGATCCAACTTGGTCCCCCATATAAAAGAGATGATATTTATATCAAAATTAAGTTAACGCGCCCCGCTAACGATAACGGTAATGAGGCCCAGTGATTCATATCTGGTTTACACTTATTCAGAAGGACAATGTAGTTTTAAAAAAAAGTAGATTGGAAGGAGTGAGTGACCTCAATCCCCAAGTACTTAATACCATTTTGGGCCTCCGTAGAAGGCTAGAAGGGAGTGCCGACCTTCCATAATAGTCTTGGTGTAAATAACCAAGTAAACATATCCCACAATTCTGAGAATATGGTGACATAATTAATTAAAGAGTCAGAAACTTGCTGAGCTTTTCCCAGACATTAACATTGTATTCACATTGTTATTTGATAGTGTCTTTATGAAAGATGGTCAAACAAAATGTATTAAACAGCTCTCATCTGTCTGTAATGATTTCTAATGGCTTAAACTGAGGCAGTAAAATTAATAATGATCTTATATCAAACAAAATGAGTTAAGTGATTTGTAAGGGCATGTAATTACAGTACGGTAATTAAGTTTCTGTTGTACCTGCAGATGGTTTCAAAGTGCCCAAAGGTGCCAATGCCATTATCATTACCTACGCTCTCCACCGTGACCCGCGGTACTTCCCAGAGCCCAACGAGTTCAGGCCTGAGCGCTTCCTGCCGGAGAATTCAGTGGGAAGGCCTCCATATGCGTACATCCCCTTCTCCGCTGGACTCCGCAACTGCATCGGTAAGAACAGGACAGGTTTAATTTGTAGTTGACTGGACCTGTCTCTATGCATACTTCACTCAGAGAAACTCCAGAATAACTGCTGTGTCTGTGTTCCACTATAATCTTTCCTCAGGTCAACGTTTTGCACTTATGGAAGAAAAGGTGGTCTTGGCGTCCATTCTGCGTAACTTTAACATTGAAGCTTGTCAGGAACGTGAAGAGCTTCGGCCGGTAGGAGAGCTCATCCTGCGACCAGAGAAGGGCATCTGGATCAAACTGGAAAAGAGGAAAACCCAAACTTAATCAAATCAGCACCTGCGCTCCTCTTTTACAGAAGCTTTTTGCTAAATTTCATCTTCCTTCGTGATCTCTATTCAAAGCACATCCTTTCCAATTCAAATGGTGGTGGACAGTGTAATGGCTTCTAAATGAAAGGGTCAGAGAGAATAGTGAACTTGGTGTTTGATTTGAGAATTTTGTCATCATTGTAGTCATTATAGTGATTCACTATTCTGGCTCAACAACTCTGCACTTTTGTTGTGCCCAAATAACGTTGAAAAATAACTGTACAAATGTTTTGCTATAAGCAGCTTAATCATGGAATTAAATAAAAAGCTAATAATAAATATCTTTACATATTTATTACATTTACGAACACCTCAAAGATAAGCCTTTCATTTGTGCAGTATTTCAGCTGAATGTTAAATTTGAAACCCCTAGCTGCAGTTCTTTCCTTGTATGACCTCATACTTCATCTCTTAAAGTTTATTTATAAATATGTTTGGTCAGTCATCTACTGTGCATCACTCTTTTTTTCTCTGGGCTTACTCTTTGACATATTTCCCAAACCTGATGTAGATTGTTAACCAAGAAATACCTTTTAAATGATTTTAAACACTCTTAGGATGCTGGGAAGTGAGATCAAAAAATACACCAGCAATATCGCCATACTTTAGGTGCCAAAGAGAATGAAACAGATATTTGAGATCGTAACTTCAAGGGACAAAACTCCTCACACAACTCTGAACATCGTCTTCAGTGCTTTTGAATACCCTTTTTGGTAAAACTCCTGACCTCTCATTACCCTGGTGGCTGGAACGCTAATGAGAATCCATTCAGGTTTATGATTATAATGAGCAAAACTCTTTAGTCACTGAATCCCATCGAGGTCAGAAGGATCCATTGTAACAAAGAAGTAATAATAGCATGACACACTTACAAATGACCCCATCCATAATGTCACAAGATGATTTAGCTGGTATGGCTGCAAAGGTCATTGCCTAACACCAAAACGACATGAGTGATGATGAATTGCATGCTCTTCTCCGATGCTATTTGAATTATTGAGCACTTCTGTAATCAATGGCTGGGTAGAGCTGAGGCGCAGTGGTGAGAAAGCTCCGTGTGTACAGCAGTATCATTTCTAAAGTTACACAGGGAGGGCAGAAAACTAATTAATGAAGAGCGTTGTTTGACATATCATTATCAGTGTAGATTTCGCAGCTGGCAGGAGTGCCAAGGAATGTTTGCAACCCGTTTAAAGTCTTTGTGCGGTTTCAGATTCCACAACACGTCCTGTATGAACCACGAAAGGGGTCACGAGATGATTAACGACGAGAGGAAACAAATGAAAAACATACAATGTTATTGCTATAAAACATATCTTAAAATTATGTAATTTTCAAAAATTCTTCATTCATAAAAAATGAACATTCAAGAGCTTCTCTACATGTTGGTGACAAAGCTGTTGTTCTCTACTCTTCTTTGGATAAATTATTTTATTCCTTTAATGTTTTATTTATTCATCCATTTTTCTTGAATGGTCAAATTTAGGAACACTGCGTCAAATGATGTTGATATCAGCTATTCATAACTTTAAGTTATAATAGGTAACCTGCTTCTGGTTCATATTCTAAGGAGAAAACTATCGAGGCCATGACCTCTGTGTAGTTACAGCTCTGCCATCACAGACATTACTCAATACTGAGGAGTTTCAAGCCTTCTAAATGTTCCAACAAAAATACATTTCTTTCATGTACCCACCATTGTTGAAACATTGACTGTTAATCTCCTTTAAGACAACCCAGCAGACACATGAGAAACACCATGAAATAACAATAAAAATATAATGAAAGACTTCAATCAGACTTTAATGTCAGATCCACCCGAGATGCACAGACGCCCCTTGGGCTTTGTGATGAAATTGAATGAAACTACTTTTAAACACCAAATGATGATAGATTTCCAATTCCCTTTCAAAATTGAAATTTGTGTTGAAGGTGATTATGAAATATGACTCCGCAGAGAGAAAAGGGCTTTTTAAATAAGGTGTAGTTCAAATTGATGTCCAGAGAGAGGCAGCAGTGTATGCTTTTCTGAATGTGTGCAAAGACAGGGCCTCCGTGTTGCACAGTGCATGTGTGAGGGAGTGTAAGAACAGCACAAACAGCAGCATGTATCTACAGTTCCTTTTTTTCTGTCTGAATGCCCGGCAGCTTCATGTTGATGTGAGTGACAGCTGTATTTAGCATGTGTAGTTTATCGCCTGCGAGTCTCAGATTTTCCGTGTTCTGACACTTGAATGGCACACGACAAATGTGCAATCTCCCTTTAAAAGAAATTAATTAAAATAATTAACACGTGTCCATTCTCAGCAACAATGCAGCCTGGATGCACAATGTTTACTGCTGGATTCTCAAGTCATCCCATAGTGAGAAAACTCTACCGACACTGATTTACATATATGACAAGATCAATCTTACCATGAGACAAACAGTGTAAACAACAAAGCAACCCACTGGCTGTCATTTGCAATTACAAGTATAGAATAAATCCATACAGAGTGAACTCATCCACCGTAATTAATAGGTCTAATTTTCTCTCAGCCCACGACTCACACTCTGGCTTTTTAATCATTTTATTGCACGTACAGTAACAAGGATAGTCGCTGTCAACTCCAGTATTCTTCACTTCACCACATCTGCTTGCACTTCATGTGTGATTGTGTCTATTTGTGTGTGTGTGTGTGTGTAGTTGGAGGAGCTCAGCCCAATGGAGAGAGCAGAGCAAATTCGCGCTGCAGCGTGATAATAAATGACATCAAAACATTAAATACCAGGTTTCGGAACGTATCCGTATCCTTCAGATAACGTAAAACGCGAATGCTCTAGCCTGAGCCAGTCTCCATTCTGGGCTGCTGTACAAACATGGCGGTGCAAGATGGCGGACTCCATGGACGACCCACTCCATATGTAGATATAAATGCCTTTTTTTAAGCTAACAAAAACACTACGATTCTTAGTTTCAGAAGATTATACACTGATGAAAACATTGTTATGAATATTGTATTCCATTGCTGCTGATTAATCCCCCTAAATGTTTCAGATTGTTCCTATGATTATAAGAATTTAGATATTAGTTTATATTAGTTCAAATTTGACTGCTTTTGTATTGTAAGTATTGTCTGAGTGGCACATCAAATAACCATATTTATCCACAGAAAGGGTACAAAGAGAAACAGACAAACACAAATTTAGTTTTGGTCTTTTAATGGAAATTGTTGACAAAGAAGACTCCAGTCTTATCCTTTAATAAATAAGAAAATAATGTTTTATTTTACTATACTGGCAGGGATGATTAAGACGTTATTCAATGTTGAAAGACAACAAAAAAGAAACAAATAAGTTAATTGTATATTGAAGTGACAAATGGAAATCTTAAAATAGCAATTTCTCTATGGAAGATTAAATGGGAAATTAAATCAAAACATTCCAATCTGTCCTCAAAAATCCGTTTGATCAACAACTGGTGTATTTTTTGTCGGGTATTATTCATGGCTTCCATTGTGCTTTAAAGTCCAGTCTTGTATGACACCATAAATACTACAACAACCCATTACAAACCATGACTTTAACCTTTCTTTGCTGATGTTAGCTTAAAACAATGGTCAAATCCCTGTTAATGACCCATTAAGATCAATAGAGTAGATTGCCTCGGCACACAAGGTGTAGTGGGACGTTGTAGTATTTATATCTACATCTCCGTGATGGCTTTTTAGACCTCCCTGGCCCACAGAGCAACACCAGTGTTGAGGAGGATAGGATGCGACAGTACCCCTGGATCTGACTGAGCACCATGCTGTAGCTTCATGACACACTGCTATCTCTATTGGTTGCTTTCAGTCACTCTCCCGCACACATGCATGCAAACATTCACACACACTCACAGTAAAACCACACACTTGTTTTCAGCCCCTTTCCCTTTTGTTCTCCCTTCTCCACCAACCTCAGTTCAGTCTATTTTCACATCAAATGAATGCCCCTTATTAGGGGCCTAAGTCAAATCAGGATTGTGTCGTCCAATATGAAACGAGGCAGGGGGATGTGGATGGAGAGACTGAAGGAGAGAGAGAGAGATTAAATGGAGGGAAAGCAAATGAGGTATCAGGCGGACTGAAAGCATAAGAGCAGAAGTCTGAAGGAAGGATAAATTGAAAGGATGAGGAGCAATGATCACACAAACCAAATAATCTGAACTAACTGCTGAGGATATGGCAGTCACAGCAAGGGAAGCATTTCTTGGCGTTAAAATAAACCCATCTGCCTGCCATCTTTACTGTTCCCATAGAAACACGTGAGCCAGTTGGCCCCCAAACGTTGAGGTGGACCGGTGTGCATTGCTCAAGGCGCAGAGGCCACGCATTCTCCCTTTCCTTTGAAGGGCACGGATACTTCATCTCACAGCTAAATTGTTTGAAATGTGGCCATGGCTCCAATTTTACTACAGTGGGGTAAGACTTAAAATCCAGCCTCAGCTCAATATATCAGTGCTTAGTCCCTCTTGTACTTTGACTCCAGGATAATCTTTCTACAGTCATTTCTCATTAAGCAGAAGACTTCCTGGACATGTTTCGTGTTAAGTTTCAATTATATGTAGCCGTGGGTAAACAACGGCGTTGGATTGGAGTCAAACCAATGTGTGTGTCCTTGGCTGTAAACAGTACAGTGATAACACAGCTGAAAGTCACACATAGTTATCATACAATCATGGTAAATGGACTGGATTGACATAGGGCTTTCATCCAAAGGGCATTGGGGGGTCAGTGTCTTGCCCAAAGACAGTCCCTCACATAGACAGGAGGAGAAGGGAATCAAACCACCAACCCTGTGGTGGTGAAACAAAATGCTATGAATGTTTATCACTCCTGAAGAACAGGTGGCACCTTATGTAGTAGACTCTGCCACAAGCGTGTGAATGTGCATGAATGGGTGAATGCTGACTTGTGTTGTAAAGCACTGAGTGACGAGAAAGATGCAACATAAATAATCACGATACACATGAACCAATAAACTCAAGAATTGTATTTCAGCGATAAACATTTTATCACTGCTATGAATAATACAAATATTTGCCAAAGTTAGATTGTCACGATTTATGTTTTGCTTTAGTTATTTATTCAGTTTTATTTAGATGTTCCCTGCTTCTTGTCTCGTGCACTTTATTTCCAGCCTTTGTCTGTGTCTTACCCCTGTGATTGTCTGCCCTTCCCCGCTGCATAATCACCTGCACCTTCCCTGTATTTAAACCCTGTGTGTCCCTTGTCTCAGTGTTGGTTCGTCTTTGGTGTTACCATGGTCCGTCTGTTCGCCTGCCTACCATTTCTCCCCGGTATGTTCCCTGTTTCGTGTCTGCTCCCCTCTGCCGTGTTCCCTGTTTTTAGGATGTTTTATTTTCATGGACCTTTCGTGACTTATTCTTTGGTCTGGCTGGAGGTGGGTTGAGGTAAAAAATTA